CAGGTCCATGCAAATAAAATTCATCTGAGAATTGCAGACATACCATGATTGATAACTGGACAAGAAATATACGTAATGTAACACACCATACCCTGTATTGATTTTGTATTTGTCACGTTTTATTGCTTTGAAATAGTGATATATATTTCTGTTGACACATACAAAGGGAGTTTCTTTAATGAATTTATTGTTACTGACATGTGCAGATCTAGCATTGAAAGTCCAGATCCATACCTCAATCTTTGCAATAGCACAACTCTGTGCCCTTAGGCGGGGGACGTTGATAACTCTGCTACGAATTCTTGTTAAAGTGGATTTATGGTAACTTGCACTTTCCAGTACCGTCCATAAACAGGCTCAAACAAACCGAGCCTGCAACATTTTCAATTTTGACGTGTTGGACTTTCTTTAGGGATTCTGTTTTTTCTCTTTTTTAAGTCCAATTATTATCGTCTTTATTTCTTTTCATTGACTTGGCTTCTTAAAGCCGGTTTAGTTAGCTTCTTTTTCATGTACATTTTAATTTGATATTGAAAAAACTATTTTTTTTATAAACACTTTCCTTTTAGGTCGCTTTGTTAAACACTACCATCAGCAGATATTAAGATCCTTATTGTCAAAAAATGTCGAGAAATAATGTCTGGGCGGATGGTGCGGGCCGGAAATATCTTCGTGTTACATAATTTATCATGGCCCACCCATAAAGCTTATTGTTAACATTAAAAAGTATGTTTGCATTTTATGCAATACATTACATATTTTTCAAATTTTCATAAAATAGCTTATTGGTACGGTGGCACAAAGGTGACATGTCTTTGTTTTTATTTATCTCGTAGCCACAAGATACTATGTCGTGGCCACGAGTTACTAAGTCGTGGCCACGAGATAGCTAAGTCGTGACCACGAGATACTATGTCGTGGCCACGAGATACGAAGTCGTGGCCACGAGTTACTAAGTCATGGCCACGAGATAGCTAAGTCGTGACCACGAGATACTATGTCGTGGTCACGAGTTACTAAGTCGTGGACACGAAATAGCTAAGTCGTGGCCACGAGATACTATGTCGTAGCCACGAGATACTTTATCGTAGCCACGAGATAGCTCAGTCGTGGCCACAAGATACAATGTCGTGGCCACGAGTTACTAAGTCATGGTTACGAGATGGCTCAGTCGTGGCCACGAGATAAATAACCAATCAGATTACACCATTCATACGAATTTCAAAAATTAACTAGACATGTGCTATAGTACAAGGATGCCCCTACTTGACCAGCCTGTAAAAGTGCCACTTTACATTAAGCGTCACTGTGACCCTGATTTTTGACCCAATGACCTCGAAATTATTAGATGTCATCTAATGATCAGGTGCATTGATCTTTCTGGGTTATATAAACCATGGCTTAATTATTCATCAGACAAGGCTTTTAACTTATAGGCTATGTACTGTCCATGGGCAATGTCCCTTCCAAATAAAATAAACCAGGACTTATTCCTTATCTCGTGGCCACGACTGAGCTATCTCGCTCCCACGACTTAGTAACTCGTGGCCACCACTGAGCTATCTCGTGGCCATGACTTAGCTATCTCGTGGCAACGACTTAGTAACTCGTTGCCACGACATAGTAACTCGTGGCCACGACTTAGCTCTATCGTGGCCACGACTTAGTAACTCGTGGCCACAACTTAGTTAACTCGTGGCCACGACATAGAATCAAGTTGCCACGACTTAGTAACTCGTGGCCACGACATAGTATCAAGTGGCCACGAGATAAACAAAAACACACACATGTCACCATTGTGCCACCGTTTATTGGACGAACTTCATAATTGTAAACGATCACTGTGACGTAGCGTTTTAACTACCTACTGACAAGAAACGATTATTACGTCAACTTGCAGTAAATTAGCAAAACAGTATATAGAAAGACGCATTGATTTTCACATTTTTTATCTGGAATTTAATCTCTAATATCATGATAAAAAATTGGTTGGGATTCAATGAACAAGAAGTCACATTGAAAAGCTTAGATGTATGAGCTTGTAATATTTTTACATTTTCATATTTTGTGTATTTGTTTTATGAAGGTAAATGTCCCAAAGTTACATCACGTGTTTGTTACAACACGTTACATTGCAATTAAAACCGTAGTTATAATAAGGTGCTATCCGAAAAAACCATTACCCGAAATATACTGTGTTTCTTTTAGATATCACGCTCATCTAGATGCTAATGATCCGTATGACCCTTATTAACTTTTAAGGTTTTTTTTTTCATTTACGGTGATGGTAACGAATTCGACTGTTCGAATTAGTTTGGTTTAATCATTCGTTTTGTTTAGGATTTGCGTGTCGCTGATGCGTGCAGTGCTGAACTATTCAGTGCTACTGGTATGGATCATATAACTTAATATACCAATGCTTTTAATATAATATAGACCAGTGTATCAAATATATATAACATTTGAATGTGGACATATTAATGGAAACTCTATTTTAAATAGCTATTTACCATTTGATGCAAACCCAAAACGTCCATTCTTTAAATTGTTTTTTTAAATGCTCAATACCAATATACTTTTAAAAAATGGCGGAATGTGTACATTGTGCGTGACTCTTTTTTATTGGCTGCAACAGTTACATCTTTTGTTAGCGCTAGTAGCACTAACAGAAACATACTATAGTATGAAAAGGCGTCTTTTGTTAGTGCTAGTAGCAGCCTAATAAGTCTAATAAAAATGTGCTAGTAGCAGCTAACAAAACAGGATCGGGTGATACTACTGCATAGGTTGTCAGATTGTTGTTGCTCCCTGACTAGCAATCAAACTTAGCCGACTCTATTTATTCCGTTCCAACTTAAGGTACTGAGAGATTTCCAGAAAATTATACTTAATACTTAATTTGTTACAATGCGTAAGGACAGATTCATTATCAAGAAATGTTCAAAGAACTCTTTCGCTTCTGCAAAAATAAATAAACAAAGCGATCATGCATCATATTGGAATTAACTGAAACGTATATTTCATAATTTAACGTTTATCTTTAATCAGATATTAAGATTTAAATAATAGGGATATGATTAAAACATGATCGACATAAGCATTAACTTAACCTAAACAAGCAGATTCAATCCGAAAAAAAGTATAACAATAAAAAAAACTATCTAACTATGATATTTTAGATGCTAACCTGATCATACTAATGATTGCTAAGAATTCGTCATCTCTTCCGGATTTCAAATTATGTTATTTCTGACCATTTCATATAACTGTGTAGCATACAAAAAGTAGGGAAAGACACATATTTAAGGAGTTATAAACTGCATTATTTCTCTCGTTCCTACAAAATATACTTAAACAGCCTTATATTTCATTTATATCATTCTTGAATATTACAATTTAATAAATGACACTAGCAAGATGAATCATGTCTATCTTATAACCGTTTATTTTAGGATAAAATGCGAGAGTAACTAGACAGTTGAGAAATCGATTAAATATATTTGTATAGGATTTAAAGGTTATCTTGAACAATGACAGTCATGGCTATATGTATCAGAAAAACATCTCATATAACATCAGTTTCATCCGTTGTGATTGGTTATTATTTATGTGACTGAATGCGACTACAGTTGAATGTTGAAACATGTGTCGCACCATTTCAGCAGGAATATGCATTTGAATTCAAAGATAAAAATAAACCATTTAATCTACTTTCGTATATCAAAGCAATATTGCATGGAATTCTTGGATACGTATTTCGTTATGTTGAAACTTCAAAGCATTACGTTTACTATACAAGTTTGTTGTGAAATAGTGCACATAATTCTGTCAAAGGCTTATTATTTTCTACAAAAATAACGTAAAGTAACATCTACGTTACATATTTGCCTCTCATAAAAGAGGTCGATCATTTTAGCTAGATGCTGTGCTGAAAATCAAATTTTAACTCTTGGTACCTTACTTAAAAATGTATGCATTATGTTGATGTTTACGGGGTAAACCCCACACTTCCAGTAAGCTAGACACAAAGGCTCCCACGTTTACAAATATTTGTAACCGTTTACACGAATGATAAAAAACGAAACGATACCGTTTAAACGGAAGTTGCATGGGACTCCGTATTATACTATGTCTGTACTGAATTTAATTGATGTTTTTAATAACGAATATTTTGAGTGAGGCAAAACAAATTCAAATAATCATTACATGTTTTTTTATTGAACGATGTCAAATATTTCTAACTTCAACGTATATATGACTGCACATGACAAAATACTGAGAGTACGTCGGTAACAGAGTTGCGCGATAATACATTAATAAATAAAAGTAGTCTATATATTTCTACTTGCTATTTGCTAAAGAATCTAACTACACTATTTTGAAGTGACGAACAAGTAAATACCTTTTTACATGATCAGTTTTATCTTCGAAAAATCTTTACATAGAAATCTTTGAAATTTGGTTGCAAAAAAACGAAACTGCAAGCGCTTTGATTGTCATTTCCTACAGTATGACGTCAGCTGTCACAAGTACCACCACGTGGAAAATCAATCGAGGGGCCGTATATCACTAATCATTGCGCACTAAATGAGAGATTTTATTTCGGCCTTTGAAAAAAAATTCAACGTTTCATTCAATCTGAGGAACATTTAAAACGTAAATTTAAAAGAAATAAATATCTGCTGCTGTCTGTAGTATAATATTTTTACAAATGAATTGATTTAGATATATTCATTCCAGTAAAAACGACAAAAAACGTCTTTATTATTAGGGAATAAAAACAAAGAACAACAAGATATTTTATAACGATACCTTTTACAAATTCATTGTATTTTTTAACACAAATCATAAAGTGCATATAAGAAGATTAAAACATGCAACGATTTGAACAGATGCAATTTTTTAAAGTTTCTTGAACTTCCTTCCTAACGCTACATTTTTTTTCAAGTGTAACGGAAGCTAACACAACCATAAACACTCACGTAAGTATAATTATGAGTTTACAAATCAGGTAAGCTAGGTAGCTGAGGCAATGCGTTTGGTATGCTGGACTCGGGCATTTCCTGTTTAACGGTTTTGCAAAGGTCCCCTTTGCAAAGGTCCCCTTTTATTGCATTATCCGTTGAGGGCTTTGCGCGAGAAAAGGTTTTATGAAGAAAAACTAATTTATCTACAGAATCAGGGTCAAGTGATGCCCTCAATTTGGTAACAGTGCCTCCTGCAAGAGAAAACACTCGTTCTGACGGTACTGATGTAGCCGGGATACATGCAAGTTTGCGAGCAAGAAACGCCAATTTGGGGAAATTTTCGCAGTTTTCTTTCCACCATTTAAATGGATTTTGGGGAGTGGGTATGGGTTTTTCATTCCCATACATTTCAACCTCTTCTGTGGCGGTTTGAGGGATAATTACTCTGCAAGCATCATAGTAATCGCCTAATAGAAATGACATATCATCTTGCGATTGCAGTTTGCAACGCTTGTTAGGGCTATGTGTTTGACTGTCATTTAATGTGCATGAATTTTCAAATTTGGTAATTTGTGCCAAAATTTCGGTATGGACCCGAGACCGTTGTTCTGGTGAGAAGAAGGGCAGTGACCTATATCTAGGATCAAGGAACGTGCAGAGAATTGGTAAGCTTGTACAAATGTCATCGGATTCGACACCATGACGTTTAACTAGGTCTGCGTGTACATCAGCCTTAAATTTCGAGACTGCTGAACAGTCTGTAGAGTTTGCCTTTAAATGATGGCGAATAATGCTATAAAGAATCGGATAAACCCCTCCAACAGTGGGGTACAATTCAGAGCACATTGTACGAGTTGCAATGTACAATGGCTTAAGGACAGGGACGAGCCCTTCAATTATTTTCATTTGGTCATCAGATAATGAAAGGACACGTGCATCTTCCATTTTTGTAAAATTTGGGTCGTGCAGTACAGCATATACAGGTAAACGCTGTTCAATTATGCGTTCAAACATGTCATATGTCGAATTCCATCGTGTTTCACAACCTATGATTAACATATTTTCTTTTATGTTCATTTGTTTTTGTTTCTCACGGAGCGCATTAGATACAATAACAGATTTTCTGAAGTGTTTTACAAGTTTTTTGCACGAGAGAATGGTACGTTTAATCAATTGAGAATTTTCGAATGCATTGCGTATAGAAAGCTGAAGTGTATGGCCAAAACACCTGATATGTGGTCAGTTAAGATGTTGTACACATGAAACCATGTTAGAAGCATTGTCGGTAACAATACCGGTGACAATGTCGTTTGTAATTCCAAATTCATTTGTAATGGATAGGATTTCGTTCGCTGTGTTTTCACCTGTGTGTCTATCTTTGACCCCACGTGTGGCTAGAACAAAGTTCTGGTACAGCCATTCTGAAAAATAGAAAAAATTCATGAATAGTTTTGCAAAAAAACGTAAATTATTATGATTGTTGGTTTAGATTTTAATAAATATTAGCGAATAAATATTTTGACAATCGTGAAATTACTGTATATGTATATAAATTTTAAGTGCAATCACAATAAAAGAATAAAAGAAACTCAAAGATATTGTGATTTATTAAAAAAACCATTAATTTAATAACTGACCACACAGAGGAGAGAAAGAAGAAAACAAAATGACAATTAGACAACGGATTTTTAAATCGGGTAATATATTTTTTTTTACACGTCTTAGAAATTTTGATCGTTGATTATTTAAACTAAAATTGACTATCGACTGAAATAAATTATAGAGAAATGTGTCAAATTGATTATGGAATTTCAGAACCGAGATCAATATTACCATCATCAATGAAATGGCCAGTTACTGTGATATAGCCCTCCGTAGCCAAGCTTGTCCAATGATCTGATGTGAGGGCTACACCTTTCTGTTTCTTAATTAGATTGACCAAATCAGTCTTTTCCGTCTCATATAGTTTTGAAACATATTTTGATATGGTGGTTACGCATGGAACATCGTAAGCTGGATTAAGCTCTTTACAAAACGCTTTGAAACCTTCCCCTTCAACGATCGATATAGGGCGCAAGTCGCGCGCACACATATAGGCCAACTTCTGGGCCTTACTAGACACCAACAATTTATATTATATAAATTTATTACCATTCAAATAACAAACAAATTGGTATTCAAGATATTATGTAATCAATTTGATCACAAATAAGTGATTATTTAACACTACCAATTTACTGCTTTATATACTTTAAAATGCAATTGAAATTAGGAAATAACATGTGTGGATTACTGCATAGTTAATTTTTAACAGTTACGTCAAGTTTTCAATAACAACAAAATCAAATAAAATTATGAGACATGCTATTAAATGATCTCATTGAACCATGTATATTTCTTATTAGATTCCTTCAATAATGCTGTCAATATTGTTTGTTTGTCAATATTGTATATGATTACAACATTTTTAAAGTCAAACGCAAGGTACACTTAAATCAAATTATTTTAAAATAAAAATGTTCCTACTAGGAAGATACATCACTATCAATTTTTATAATTGAATTTCTATGCTTACAAAATGGTTTTTGTTCATAGCTACACGAAATTATTATGTCTTTGTTATGCAAGCATTGCTAGTATGCCCACGTGTTTACTCTAAACAACTTATATGTTTAGTAATTATTTCAACAATTTCTATATTTCAAAAATAAGAGTCAGTTTCAATGAAACCATTCTTAACACTATTTGTGTTATTAAACTATCATATCAAAGACACTTATATCGACAAATTAAAATTCTTTTTACTTTTGCATTAGTTTGATATTATTTTTCATACTGCATAATGTATCTAGCATCGTGGAATTTGGTGTGACATATTAATAGGGAATCGGCGGATAATTTTGAACCAAGTTATTTTACATGAACTATTTACATTGTAATACATTGTAATCATAAAAGGCGGTACTTGATATATGAGCATCCTCTTTTACTATAATAGGAACATTATTACGTTACCAGACAAAATAAATGTTAATTAATTGTTTTGTTATGGGCGATAATTTCTATACGGGGGTAATAAGAATTACAATAAAGGTTCTATAGACATTTTACTCTGAAAACATTTCAGTTTTATCTATCATCGAGTCTTTTCTTGCAGTGTTGCATGCACATTCATTTCCTGAAATGTCTAGACGTTTTCATGTTTTGTTAGGAAACATGTTTTGTTTTTAAGTACACGGCACATGTAATTGCAAATCTATATCAATATAAAGACTCTGAAACATGGTTAATGGATCCGCAAACATGATTATTATGTGTGTTCGATCAATATGGAATATATGGAAAGCTGTCGATGTTTAAAAGAGTACGTTATTCTTGTGAATAGTTTAGTTACACATAAACATGTGCTGAAAACAGGCATACAATTTACAATTAACGATCAGGTTTTGTTTTTAGATATATCGTTAATAAAAAACAATATATCATGCAAATCGTATCTAAATTCTTATAATTAATTAAGATGAATTCAAGATCAAAAACAGAAATCGATCTTACTGAACAATCAGTAGTGAAATGCATAAAACAGGTACAGAAAGCACTGGCTGTATACATAGGCAAGAAATCATGTTTTAATATATTATCTGAATTACAAAACGGAAAGTGACATGTTAAATAATGGTGAAAAACTGTTAAATTTCTTCTTGAATAATTTGAAACTTTAACAGGTGGCCTTTTTCTGATCGCAAATGTCTTTTAAAGAAACCTGAAATTATCAAACTGTGATAAGTATACGCCAACTCAACTGCTTAGGAAAGAGGACATACATTTTTATATTGGAGGACATTGTTAAGACATTCCTGAAACATATGATTAACATCCTTACATCTTGATATGTCATTTTATATTTGGATTAAAGAGGTTTTACAGTTAAAGAACGTTTTTAGCAAAGCCCTTTTACAAGTGATTTTATTTTATAAATTGAGATGAGCCTTATAGTCTATATCAATTTATTAAAAGAAATATCATTTAAAAGATTTTCCAATTACCTTCGAACAATTCTTGGCATGAGTTCTTTTAATTTCAATAAATTTGAAAAGTTTTTGTATTTTATTAAATTAAAATGTAATATTTTATCACTTGCATTTTTTTATTTATGCCGCAGGTGAAAGTTTAAGCCTGTGTACCACTTTTTCAGCAGGCTCTAGGAACATGGAAATACTCAAGATGTATAAGTGTTAAAAATACGATGCATGAAATGTTCTAATTTCATTTAACATTATAAAAAATCCGTGCATAACGCATTACATTATTTGAAACCTAATTAATAATTAAATATTTATAAAACTCACTCTCTTTAAAAATAAATAGGTAGATCAATACAAAGAAAATAAAATGTGCCAAACAAAATTGTTTGCAAACTTTGTATACAAGATAACACACAACACATCAGAGGCTTCATGGTTTGAGTGTACTAAATTGTTAAAGCCTAGTAAATTTGAATTTAAGGAAAACCTTTGACGTGTAAAGCAGCTGCAAAATAAAACCTAGTAAATTTCTTCAGGAACTTTTTTTATTACATGCTTTTCGGTAGTTCATAAAAATATATCAGTGAAATGAAATACTGTTATTTCACTGTTCGAAACAGTAAAATTATCAATCTGATAATTTTCACTGTTTTGAATTTAAGCCTGTTACGTTGTTTCAGTAAAATACCAGCGTAGTACACAGTACCGGAAACCAACTTACTGACGTGACCTCGTAAATGACGTCACGTTGTATAATTATTTGGCACACTTTTTTCTTTAACATTAGGTTAAAGTAAATATGTAAATGCATCATTTAACTAACTAAAGATCTAAGCTAAACAAATACTTTCAAAAACGAAGACCCGCAAAAGGTGACAATGTTTGGTCGTGTTTTCATTGAATGTCGCCGTTCCTTGTTGATCTTTTTTTTCATATATTTTTAAGAGGCTGGAAAAGTTGTGCTCTCCCATCCTACGCATTCAACAGCCCTTGCTCCCTGCGACTTTGTTTTGTTTCCAAAGCGAAATATTTATCTTTAAGAAAATGTGTTCACCGCAAACACAATCGGTTCTGCTATATTCAAATATTTAAGTATACCGCAATAAGACAATAAAATGCATTTAAGATTGAATTCGGCGACTGAATACCTGTTAGACGGATGTTTACTTGACTTAACACTCATCCTCGTAAAATGAATAAATGTAGTAACTTTAACGCGCATACATTCTTCTTTCTAATCAGACATTAATACGATAAATAATAGGGACATCACCTAATAAATTATCAGCTTTATGCATAAGCTAAATATACTTTTGTCAAAAAAGCGGGTTTATTTGGAAAAGACGTTCTAATTTCACAGGCTTATTAATGACCTTTGGCGTTATAATGAGATCTAACTGGTTAGTACTCCTAATTTCAAGTTTTGTTTCCTTACACATAGAACATTTAATCTATACGGCCGCTAGATTGTTTCTCAAACATTTTTTTTATCTCAAAGAAGTGATTAATAACGGAATATAAAGTTAATTGATCTTATTTCTAGCGAAATAATACTTTAGATAAAATGTAATTTCTTCTTTATTCTGTATAACATATTCCAGAAATACTAGTAATATAAAACCTAAAAAAGCCAGTATCATTTTCCTGATCGTTAACTTTAGTGTAATGAATTTATTTCATAACATATTTAGACCTTTTTTAATTTCAGGTTTCTGTATAAAATTCTCGGATGGAGCGCCAACTCATTTGCTACAGAAAGAAGATATAAACTTAAAATAGATTGGAGTACATGTATTTCTGCCGAAGGGACCAGAAATAAGGTTCGATAGTGCGACCGATCGGTGTTCGAACGATCGGAAGTAGAACAATTATTATTTAGGAATTTTACTGGATTTAAGAGGATCAAAGATATAGCAAAAA